CTGCCTCTCTCTCTCTCAAAAATAAATAAACGTTAAAAAAAATTAAAAAAAAAAAAGATTTGGTGACTTTATTTAAAAATGCAGATTAATTGGCCTCTGAAAAACAATAACAACAAAAAACATGTGATTTAATAAATGTGGCAGGGTCCAGGATTATTATGTCCAGAATCACTGAATTCTAATTTGTCCTCTATCTCTAGTCCAAAACAGAGCCAAATCCACATGAAAATGCCCACAGCATCCTGTAACTTGAAATTTACAGGAGTTGGAGGCCCATGAATCTGTATTTTAATAAATTATCTGGAAAATAATAATGCCTAGCCTAACATTTTTTGGCGGTTTATTAAATGCCCATAAGTGTCCTAAAGGTTTTATTTATAATCCAATTTATTTGGTTGACTCAATTATTTTCTTATTTTTTAAATTTAATCTTCAAGAAACCCAATGAGGTATTATTATTTCCATTTTATAGAGAAAAAAACTGAGGCACAGAGGCTAGGTTGCCCACATTTATTCTAGAAAGTGTCTAAGCTAATTCAAACCAAAGCTGATCAAACCTAGAGCTTCCATCTTCCTCAGTATCCTGTACTTTGTTGATTTTGATGCATATGAAAGCCTGAAAACCACTGACTTAAGAAATAGAGATGCAGGGCCTTCGGACATAAGTAGTCTAAAGAGCACTTTGAAAAACACTGAAATAAATTTTAAAAATATTCCTTACTTTTGCTTTCAAACTCATGTCCCCAATCTTGATATTTCTGAATTTCATATCTGTATATTCAAATATATTTTTTACATGTCTCAGTTCAACTCTTCATGCCATAGAAACACTTCAGAAAATTCTCTAATTTCTCTTTCCTCAGTGCTCCCTTCTGCCTTCTAGACAGTTGAGCAGATCCGAAAAGGAGGCCATCGTCCTTACCTTTCTTTCCCTCATCATCAACCTTTCCTGACATCAGTGATTCCTACCACTTTCCTATGAACTCTCTAGCAAATTCAGCTCGCCTCTTCTGTAGGCCATGCCATCATTATCACCATCATCATCATCATCACCATCATCATCATCACCATCAGCAGCAGCATAACCATCATCATCATCAACATCATCACCATCCTCCTCCCTGGATTTCTGCAATTGCTTTGCATCTTGTCTCCCACTTGTCCCCTCCAAGCCATTCTTCACACTGTGACAAGAATGATCTTGAAACATGGTGGCTGAAGTCCTAGGTGCTTGTCATTTCCCAAATAACACTGCATGTGCCATCCTTCCTATCTCCCTGGCCTCAGCTCAGACCACTCTCCCACGACACTTATAGTCCAGGCACGTTGGCCTCCCTTTAGTTCTTCCAGCTGCCCACATTCCTTTAGCTTCCCATTTTCACATGTGTCCCTCACCTGGAATGCTCCCACTAGAGGAGTACAAATTTTGAGTAACTCCAGTCCTCAGCTGTCTCATCTATAAAATGGGAATAAAATAACTTTGGATCATGGTTGTCAAAACTATGAAATACAAGTATTATATATTTGATAAGTTTTAATTTCCCTAAATGTGTTCAAACATTTTTAGATATCTTCTAATCATTATATCAAAACATATTGAATGATATATTCCTTCCCACCATTTCACCAGTAGTAATTTCATGGAATCTCAAGGTTAGAGGTGTCCTTGAGAGAAACTGTTTATCTCATTTCAGAAATTTATTAAAATTATCACAGATCTTGCTGTGAAGCATTCTTCTTGAAATTTTTAATTGCTATCTAGTTAATATCCTTCAGAATGTTGCATCTTTCTAAAAATGTAGGTGTTGGATAACTATAATTTTCAAAATTACTACTTTGTTCTACAATCCATCAATGAGTTAGTAAAAATAATTAATGGAATTTTCACATTTTTCTGGGCCCTGACAGGGGGAAAAATATTACAAATAAATGAGCAAGTAAAGGAGCATTAATTAGCATCTAATTTGTAATAGCCGAGTTCAGTGCTCAATAATTTGAAAATTAGTTGAACTTTTATGTTGATGTGTAAGGTAAAAACATAGCCAATTTCTTGTTGAGAAAAGATTAATATTAACCTAGTAAAAACTCTCAAGACTAATTTGTTGAAGAAATAAATGTATGTTACATAAGGGTCATCAGTAGTATAATCCAGCAAGAAGGATGTTATAGTATCATGTGTGTGAAATATGGAAGTGGAGAAAGACAGACAGATGAAGAGAAAAGAGAGAGAAAGAGAGAGAAGGGAGAAACTGTGAACAAATGTTGGGAAATGAATAATAGTGAATGGGGGACACATGACATGTTTGTATCCATTTTGCAACTTCTTTATACATTTGAATTATTTCAGAATAACATTTGCAGAATCTGGACGCAGAGTATTCTTTTAACCTTTTCATAAATATAAAATTGTTATATAATTTTTAAAAATTGCATTTTGTTCCTGGAGCACTTTCATCCATGTCCAAACTTTCTCTACTGCAGTCCATATTGTTTAATACATAGTTGACCCTTGAACAACAGGGATGTTAGGGGCGTCAATCTCCCACACAGTCAAAAATCCACCTATAACTTTTGGCTACCCCCAAACTAACTACTAATAGCCTACTGTTAACTAGAAGCCTTACCAATAATATAAAGTCAATTAACACATATTTTGTCTATTGTTTGTATTATATATTATATTCTTACAATAAACTAGAAAAGAGACATGAAAATGTTACTAAGAAAATCATAAGGAAGAGAAAATACATTTACACTACTGTACTGTATTTATTTAAAAAATCCATTTCTAAGTGGACCATCACAGTTCAAACAAACCCATGTTGTTCAAGGGCCATCCGTATTATATGATGTTTTAATTTATTATTATCTGTTTCCCTTACTAGAATATAAGTTTGTGAGGCTAGGGAGTTTTTCATTTTATTGGCAGCTATACCCCCTGAATCTTGAACAAAGAAAGCTTCAATGTAATAGAGCTCAAAAACATACCTGATGGAATGAATGCTTGAATGAATGAACGAATGAATAAATAAATCTATAATATGGTGGTACTGAGGATCAGTATAACATATTTACATTATACACATATATGAGGCACTTAACACAGAGTCTTAAGTGCTTGATAAATATGAGTTATTTTTACTGAGTAGTTCAGGAGAGTTAGATTTCCTGCTGTGCAGTGGCAAGAGATTAGGCTGAAGTCCCTCCCAGATGGACACATAGCTCATAATAGTGGAGGGAAACTTCTTCTTTATTCCAGGGCAAGTGAGGAAAGGTTTATTCAGAACCGTTTACGTGAATTTCCCTGTTATGGGTTGAATCGTTTCCCACAAAATGCCTGTGTGGAAGTCTTAATCCTTAGTACCTCCAGATGTGACCTTATTTCAGAGATAGAACCTTTACTGAGGTAATGTTAAAATGATGTCTTAGGGTGGCTATAATCCAGTGTGACTGATGTTCTTGCAAAACAGAAGATATGGAGACGGACTTACATAACAAAGAATGTCATGTGAACATGAGGGCCGTCTCCATGTTCAAAGATGGAGATCTGGAACAGGCTCTCCCTCACAGCCCTCAGATGGAGCCAACCCTACCGACACCTTGATTTCAGTCTTTAGCCACCAGAACTGTAAGGCAATAGATTTCTATTTTTTAAGGCCCCCAGTTAGTGGAACTGTTAGGGCATCCCTAGAAAAAGAACACAATCCTCCCGGTCATCATTTTGGGGATAAAGAGGAAGCATGCTTCACTAAAGCAGGGCAAATCACTTAACCCTTCTGTGCTCCAGTTTTCTCTTCTCTAAACGGGAGATAATGCCTGGTAAACAAACCTCATGACTCTACACCAAAGAGAGCATGTGAAAATGTATAAGAGAAATTGAGGATAAATAGAAAGAATATGAAGAATAGGGCACATAAGGCATGATATGTGCCTTCTAAATGCATAGGAGTTCTTTTATTTGTTACAACTTCTTAGAATATTCATGACAAGTAACTCTCTCTTATCTAAGGGAAAATATTGTCAATAGCAATTCACCCACCCTTTTCCTAAGCACCTGGGGAAATTCTCCAGTTGTGAATGGACACATTAATGAAATGCGATATGGACAAAGAATGCTATCTCTATGGTCAACATGGCATTTTTCTCCCACAGAACCAGTGAAATGTGAAAAAGTCTGCCCTGAAAAATAACTGGCAGTGAAAGAGGGGCCAACCACTTATCCTACTCTTGGGTGGACACAAATGATTGAAGGGCTTAAAGGGTGAAGGAAATTGCCCCAGGGAGACCGAACCCTTTAGAGCAGGCTACTGACCCTTGATTGTCTGAGACCCAGTGCATTTTGTTGTTTCACATACATGAATGAACATGGTGTTTACAGCCTGAGGTAGCACAAAGAAATCAGTACTTAACCTCCATTTTTAAATTAAACAAATGGAAAACTGTGCTTTCCAAATCTATTAGCACCTTGCAATTAAGTCCTTAACACAGGTTCATTAGTTGAATACCCCATCTTTTAAGGAGAAGAAATCGCTGACAGTTCACTTTTAGGCTGAGTGTTGTTAGCCTTTCGCCTAAATTGTGAGCTCCTGAGAATTGAGTACTTAAAGATTCTTGAAGAGATGCTTTTTGTTTCTTGGTGTCAGTCTGGTGTAGGATGAAGCAAGGCCACATCAGCAAGCAAAGACCTGGGCTGCAAAAGTGTCACAAAACTGTGAGCTTCATGTCCAGAACTGTGTTTTATTTTGATATTCACCCCTAAAGAGCATAAAGGAGTGCTTCTGAATACTCTTTTTTGCTAAATTAGGGGCAGCTAAATTAGGCTCAGTCAGTTGAGTGTCCAACTCTTGATCTTGGCTTAGGTCATGATCTTACAGTTCATGAGATCAAGTCCCGTGTCAGCCTTCGCACTGCCAGCATGAAGCTTGCTTGGGATTTTCTCTCTTCCTGTCTCTCTGCCCGTCCCCTGCTTGCTCACTCTTGTTCTTTCTCAAAAATAAATAAACATTTTAAAAATGTATTATTTTTGCTAATTTGGTAACAGACACATATATGTGAATCAACAGGAAATGTTAGAATGTAAAGAAGAGAGGCAAAATGTAAGAAAGAGGAAATTAGTGTTTGTCACTCCAAGTCTTAGCAGTCAATGTCTTCATGCCTGAAACCTCATCTTCACATTCATGAGTTTTTCCTCATTTCTTTCCCTCCAATCACCATTCCATTAATACATATTCTCAAGAAGGAATCTGAAACTCACGCACAAAAAGGGGTAATTGGCTGATGAGCCAGCTTAATGGGCATCCTAGAATCTTAACAGGAATTCTTAATTGAACTAAGCTAGACAGTTTTGACTTTCACAATCCATAAATGGGGGGTGATGCACGGGAATTTTGGGGACTACTGAGTAGAGTCCAGGGAGCCTGTTAAATATCCTACAATTCACAAGGCAGACCCCCTCCACAAATAAAAAGAAGAATTATTTGAGTGCACATGTTAACGGTGATAAAGTTGATGAGGCTGAGAAATCCTGGTCTAAGGGAAGAAAGTCTAAGCAGTGTAATTCTCAGCATATCTGTCAGTGAAGAGAGGAAGAAAGACTATTTGTTGAGAAGAAATCAAATCTCATCTTCACAAGGTATCACAGCGTGTACTGACAGTGACAATCCCTTAGAGAGGCAGTTTATGTAAGCAGTAGAATACAATCAGATCTTCACCTTCAGAAGGGAGGGTCAGCATGGCAGCACAATGGCTGAGCCTTCTGTGGGCCTCAAAGCCTGATTTCATAGTGTGGTATTGGTGTTCTTTCCAATTGTAGGACCCTTGGCCTTGGAGTCACATCTGTTTCTCTTAATTTTGCGATTTCCATAGAGCAAATCTCAGTTCTCATCTCCACAATGCCCCTTGCTGGTCCTTCCGGGTGGCTAACACAAGGCTCACATATGTCTCTAAGTCCATGTTGTCTCACCTGTAGAACAGATATAAGCCACAACAATAAAAGTAATTCAGTGAGTGAGTTTCTGTAAAGCCTGAGAAGTAGGAGTTGTATCTCACTTTTAGCCTTTATTACCAATTTCATTGTTTTTAAGATTTTAATTCCAGTATACTTAACATAGTGTTATATTAGTTTCAGGTGTACAATATAATGATTCAACAGTTGCATATATGACTCAGTGCTCCCCAAGATAAGTTTATTCTTTTTTTTTTTAATTTTTTTTAACGTTTATTTATTTGTGAGACAGAGAGAGACAGAGCATGAACGGGGGAGGGGCAGAGAGAGAGGGAGACACAGAATCGGAAGCAGGCTCCAGGCTCCAAGCCATCAGCCCAGAGCCTGATGCAGGGCTCGAACTCACGGACCGCGAGACCGTGACCTGAGCCGAAGTTGGACGCTCAACCGACTGAGCCACCCAGGCGCCCCAAGACAAGTTTATTCTTAATCCCCTTCCCTTTTGTCACCCATCCCCTCCTCCTATCTTCCCCTGGTAACTGTTTATTCTTTATAGTTAAGAGCCTATTTTTTGGTTTGTCTATTTTTTTTCCTTTGTTCATTTTTTCCCCCTTAAATTCCACATATGAAATCATATGATATCCATCTTTTTCTGACTGGTTTATTTCACTTAGCATTATTCTCTTTAGATCCATCCATGTTGTTCAAGTAGAAAGATTTCATCTTTTTTATACCTAATATTTTATATATATATACATATATATATATACACAAATATATATGTGTGTGCGTATATATATGTATATATATAAACTTATATAATAGCATTTTATTTATCAGTTCATCTATCCATGGACACTTGGGCTCCTTCCATAGTTTGGCTATTGGAAATAATGCTGCAATAAACATAAGAGAGAATATAACCCTTTGAAATAGTGTTTTCATATTCTTTGGGAAGATACCCACTAGTGCAATCACTGGATAGTAGGGTTTTTTAATTTTTTGAGGAACTTCTGTACTGTTCTCCTCAGTGGCTGAACTAGATTGCATTCCCAACAACAGTGCAAAAGTGTTCCTTTTTCTCTACATCCTTGTCAATACTTGTTGTTTCTTGTGTTTTATTTTAGCCATTCTGATAGAGTGAAGTGATATCTCATGAAGGTTTTATTTGCATTTCCCTGATGATGAGTGATGTTGAGCATCTTTTCATGGTCTGTTGGCCATCTGTACATCTTCTTTGGAGAAATGTCTATTCATGTCTTTTACACATTTTTTAATTGGATTATTTGTTTTGTGTGTGTGTTGAGTTGTATAAGTTCTTTATATGTTTTGGATACTAACCCTTTATCAGATATGTCATTTGCAAATATCTTCTCCCGTTCGGTAGGCTGTCTTTTAGTTTGGTTGGTTATTTCTTTTGCTCTGCTGAAGCTCTTTATTTTCATGTAGTTCTAAGAGTTTGTTTTTGCTTTTGTTTCCCTTGTCTCAGGAGACATGTCTAGAAGGATGTTACTACCACCTGTATCATTCTGAGCTAATTGCTCCACCCTAAATCTTCTCATTTGTGAGATGGATCTCAACTATATCAATAGGACATTTTAAAGATTTAATGGGAAAAGGAAGGAAAGGATGAGCTCTAATCTTGTCACATTTTAAGTGTCTAATAAATTATAATGCTGTTGGGATCATTGTTGTTATCATTGATAATCTTTTCTATTGATTATCATTCATTGATTCATTGATTATTTGGTTTATTTGTTCATTCATTCATTTGTCTGACCAACATCTGGTAAGATCGTGCCATAGCCTAGGTATTACAGAGACAAATGCTTCAAAATGCCTCTTTCTTTGCCAAAAATACTTTGTGAAGCTGATACTCTAAACTTGGGAGAAGCGGACAGAGCTAGCCAGTGTGGGGATGAATGAAAGTAATCTGTACCCGCATGTCATCTACTCCCAGAAAACACATAAAACCATCTTGATCCACATTGGCTTTCTCTTAGCTCTTTTTGCCTTGCCACCTTTTTGTTCCTTCTGGGGCTTAGTTCAGCATAATGCGATATTCTTTACTGCAAAAATACTTCCCCATGCTAACTTAGGTAAACAATCTTATTAAACCTGATTTAGGCAGAAGGAAAGGGCTAGAGAAAGGAAAAAGACAGGAGAGAGAGAGACAGAGAAAGAGAGAGAGAGAGAAAGAGAGAGAGAGAGAGAGAATGACACTGTGCCTTAGGTTAAATAAAGTACAGATTCCTGTGGTGATCACTTCCCCCAACTACTTCTACTTTTATTCCTCATAAAAATTATTTGATAGATATTTAAATTTTATTGCTACATAAGCAACAGGCACCAACAGTGACATACAACAATACACACTTTTTTCTCATGGTGTGGATCAGATTCAGGCTGTTGAGTCCACTGACCCCCCCTACTTCATGCTGCAGTCTATAGTGCATAGTCAGCTGGGGCAGTCCTGATGGACATGAGTTTATTCTGGGGCCCAGACTGAAGAGGGAGGAAACTCAGAGAAAACTCTCCTGAGAGATGCCAGGAATGAAAGATGGTAAGTGGAAACACACCAGGGCTTGTAAGGCCTAGAGTTAGAAATGGAGCCTGTTACCTATTCCCATACTCCACTGGGCAAACAGACGACAAGGCCAAGCATAAAGGCAAATAGAAGAAGAGTATGCTCCACATTTTTTTAAAGACTGGAAGCAAGAACTTGGAAAAAAAGATCAAGAAATGTATTAAAAAATAAGGGCTAATAAAATGATCTTGCATATAACCTATGGGCTGCAATGTCCTGAGAAATAGTTTTAGGTCCAACTGATGTAACCCAATATGTCAGCCCTGGCCACTACCAATTTGTTTCATTTTATCAACAGGAAATGGCAGGTGAGTTGAAAGTTTTTAAAAGAAAAGTGCTTCACCAAACTGTTCTCATCCAAAGAAATGGTCGAAGAATAACACCTTGTCTTGTTATTGTGGTAGCTAAACATTTTTACTGAAAACATTATCGGTAAAGCATAAATAATCATATTGCCTAGCTCACAGGCTATATATAGGAAGTAAGACCATGAATAAGCAATTCTTAGCATAGGGCTTGGCACATAAGTACCCAATAAGTATTAGCCAATAATAACAATGATAAACAGCATACAAAGATTTATTCAACCTATGTTTTATAAGCACCTAATATGTGTAAGACACAGTGATCGATTGTGCCAGAGAGAACAAACCTCTGCTTCCAAAAACCATGTACTAAAATTAGAAGGTGGGTTAAGAAGCTCTAACCTGTCATCATTTTTTAATGGCATGCTTTCTAACCCAATATATGCCCTCTTTTCTCTTTTGTTCCCCTTTATGCCTATTTCAGTGGTTCAATCACTGGTAATCAAAATAGCCCAGACTAGCAGAGAGAACAGGCTGACCTTACTACTTAAGGGATTGGCAGAGGCAGGGTCAATAGCACTGAATGCGGTGAGTCAGGTAAGATGTCACAGAGGAGGCGTCATGTGAAGTGCAGTGGGACTGTCACAAGCAGGTATCAGTGGAGGTGTTCCAGGTAGGAAAAAAAACAGGCTAGACAAGAGGAAGAGACACCTTCAGGGTAGGGAGGGTACTTGGGCCCCAAGCACGGGAGAGGAGTCTGACCCTTCCCTCCCACAGATGTTTACATGACTGTTTCCTATCTTACTGGTGTCAGCTTGGGTTTCATCTACCCAGTGGCATAGACTGATCACGTTGCCTAGTGTCCCCAGTGAAACTGTACCATATTTTTGTTTTACATATTTCATAGCACTGATAGTCTCTGAAATTCTCTTATTTGTCAGTGTGTTTATGGCCTGCCTCTACTTGGGTGTATGCGCTACCTAAAAATAACCCTATTGTTTCTCTTGCTCCTTCTCAATTCCCTGTGATCACAATAAAGTTCATGATAAAGACCTATTGACACAACAGATGAAGAGCTGAGGAAGGATAGAAAGTAAAGCTGGAGTCAAAAATCAGAGGCTGTGCTATATCAGAAGCGTGACTATTAAAAAAAATAATTGGTAAGATGGACTTCATTAAAATGAAACATGCTCTATAAAAGACAATGTCAGAGAATGAGAACAGGAGAAAATATTTGTGAAAGACATATATGATAAAGGACTGGTATCCAAGATAGAAAAAAACCCTTTAAACTCAACAATAAAAAAACAAACTGATTTAAAAACGGGCAAAAGGTCTTAACAGATATCTCATCAAAGAAGATTACAGATGGCAAATAAGCATATGAAAAAATGTTCCACATTGTATGGCATTAGGGAAATTCAAATGAAAACAAGTGTAAGATACCACTACAAACCTAGTAGGATGACCAAAATCGAGAATACTGACATCGCCAAATGCTGACAAGGATATAGAGCAGCAGGAACTCTCATTCATTGCCGGTGGGAATACAAAATGATCCGACTACTTTGGAAGACAGTTTAGAAGTGTCTCCCAAAACCGAACATACTCTTATAGCTCAGATATCATATGATATATGATAATTCAGCAATCATACTCTTTGGTATTTACCAAAAGGAGACGAAAGATTATGTCCACATGATAACCTGCATGTGGATGTTTATAGCAGCTTTATTCATAATTACCAAAACTTGGAAGCCACCAAGATGCCCTTCACTGGGTGAATGGGTAAATAAAGTATAGTATATCCATACAATGGAATACTACTCAATGCTAATAGAAATGAGCTATCAACCTGAAAATATATGCAGGAAACATAAATACATGTTACTAAGCAAAAGAAGCCAATCTGAAAAGGCTACACACTATATAATTCCAGCTGTATGACATTTTGGAAAAGGCAAAGCTATGGAGGACAGTAAAAAGATCTGTGGTTCTCAGCGGTTGTAGAGAAAAAGGGATGAAGCACAGAAGATTTGGGGGACAGAGAAACTACTCTGTAGGATGCTATAATGGTGAGTACATGTGATATACATATATTAAAACCCATAAGAATGTATAACACC